GTTGGATGCCAATCTTGAATTCTAGTAGAATATCACTTTAGCCACCAACTGAGACATAAATTGGTATGTCTATTCCAAATATTCATAATTCATAATTCTGGAAGGAGTACAAATTTCAGTACTCTCTCAGCCACCTCTGAGTAAAGAGTAGGAGGGTGAGAAAGGAAGAGGACCTCACAGCTACCCTGTCATCAAGTGCTGACTGAAACCAGGGGGTTGAGAGAAGGTGTGTGTTGGGCCTAGAGGAGAAGCAGAAGACATCTAAACACCTCATTTATTTTGCCATAGTATTTATTAAATAAGGCTTAAGTGCTTTTAGATAACGTTTTATTCTTTCATTCATCCACATGCCAATGTTCTGCACACACTCGTAGGGCAAAACACATGTGAGTAAATACAATTAAAGAAAAGTGGCAAGAAATATTTTTAAATCAAAATTCTGATTCTGTCCCCTGACCTGTCCACCTTAACCCCTTTGCTACAATCCTTCAGTTTTTGAATCCCATGCTATCTCCTGGACCTACACTGGGAATCATTTTTTACCGTATAGTGAATTTCAAACTCTGATACACTTAGGGTAACCGGACTTCATTTTAGAATTGGCTACTGCAACACTGGCTATACATTCTGGACCACATTTTTTTTTTTTTTTTTTTCAGTACGCGGCCCTCTCACTGTTGTGGCCTCTCCCGTTGCAGAGCACAGGCTCCGGACGCACACGCTCAGCGGCCATGGCTCACGGGCCTAGCCGCTCCGCAGCATGTGGGATCTTCCCGGACCGGGACACGAGTGTCCCCTGCATCGGCAGGCGGACTCTCAACCACTGCGCCACCAGGGAAGCCCTGGACCACATTTTTAAGTGAGCACTTCTGATCAGCCGTCTCTCTAATATGTCTGATGGTATGCTCTACATACTCCTGTTCCCATCATATGAGGTTGACATCCTTTAGCTGAGGATTGATGTAGTGTGGATTAATTGACATGACTGATTGTGTGTCTATTTTCTAGGAAATCCTAGTGCTGCAGATTAGAAGGCAGATGCCAAATTTTCTCTTCTGCTTCTATCATTTCTCTGTTCTCACCTTCATTTCTCTTCTTCACAGCATGTACGTCTAACGGACATTATCAAAGTTAGCATCAGGGAGTCCTCTTGGAGTGGTTAATGGACTTGGTGGCAGAGTAACTTTAATTTTGCACTTTCAATGAGACATCTATTTTTTCATTTAATGAGACCTTAAAAATGATGGTGGGTGAGAGTAAGGGAAAGAGCTGCTTCCTTTTTTTCTTCTCTAAGAAATTGTTTTTTGCTGCTAAGAAATAGGTGGATGATAAAGAGTTGAAAATGAAACAAATGGAACTCTTTTTAAATTTTCACCTTTTGATATATTGAAAATCACTCAAAGGGAGGAGAAAGATAGTAGAGTCCAAGGAATCCTATTCTTCTATGCACTAATCTTGTCTTTACTTAGTAGCTTCAATTCTGTGAGTTGACTCTTCAGTATTCAAATAATTAAATGACAAAAATTTCTGGCATTCTGAATATTGTGTGCATTCTGAATCTGTCTACATTCTGAATATTGTACATCAAACGAGCTCTTCTTGGGAGGGGGTTAGTTTGAAAGGTGTTAAATGTGACTTTTGGAAAAAGCATCAGTATTTTCAACATTTTTTTTTTCTAAAAATGAGTAGTTACTGTTATGTCAATTGCAAATCTTCTTTCAATTAGGCATCTAGATTTTTTTTTTTTTTTTTTACAAAGCTCTCTCCAATTTGCTACAAGGAAAATCACCTGAAAAATGTATTAGATGTCTGACTTAATGGAAACCCCCTGATATCAGGGACTCTCTTATTGGGAAATTTAATATCAGCCCCTTAGAACATGTGTCTAATTTAATAAACCCCATGCAAGGGCCAATAATGTGCAAGGCCCTGTTAGTCACACAGGGAAAGAACACAATGATTCTTGCCTTCCATTAATTTTTAATTAATTATTATGCCAGTCATGTCGAATTTGGCATGAGTCACTTTGCTAAAAATGTGACAAGTGTGGGAATTTTTAAGGTCACAGATTGGCAACCATAGAGATATAGATTAGACAAACTACCCAGGCTTGTGTGTTTAATTTATTTATTTGTTTTTTATTTATTTTTAACTTTTATTTTATTTTTTTGTTGAAGTGTAATTAATTTACAATGTTGTGATAGTTTCAGGTGTACAGCAAAGTGATTCAGTTATATATGTATATATATACATATATAGATTCTTTTTCAGATTCTTTTCCCTTGTAGATTATTACAAGATGTTGTGTATAGTTCCCTGTGCTATACAGTAGGTCCTTGTTGGTTATCTATTTTATATATAGTAGTGTGTATGTTTATTACTTAAGTTAAGATGATCATGTAATTCATTCAAACTGTTACATTTTTGAGAGCTAAAGGAGAAGGGGATGACAATTATTTAAAGACAATAGTGGAAGCCTGGACTATCCCGGGGCAAACCAGGGCATATAATCAATAACTTCTGGTAAATATGTTTTATGTAGAAGATTTGGTCCTAATGATTTTATCATATTGTAGAGGTCAAAAGTTGCCATATACCTATATGGAATGTCCATCATGAATTTTGTCTTGGTATGAATGTACTGCAGGCTGAGCTCTCCAATGACTAGAGGAAGCAGTTACTTCTCAATCTCAGCTGGATGCACATCTTTGCCTTCTTTTCTGATTATCTCAAAAGTAGATCACGTATGCTGTCCAACTGCTTTCTTCCTCCACAACTGTTTTATGGATTGTTTTATGAGACTGACTTTTTTGAAATGTTGAAACATTAAACTCAGTTCATCCACTCACTCAATATGTTGAAGGCACTATATCCTAGACATTGCAGGGAAAACAAGGACATAAAGATATCAATCCTACTGCTATAGACTGAATGTCTGTGTCCCCTCAAAACTTATATGTTAAAATCCTAACCCTCAAAGATGATGGTATTAGAAGGTGGGACCTTTGGGAAGTAATTAGGTCAATGAGGGTGGAGCCTTCATGAATGGGATTAGTGCCCTTATAAGAGAGAACTCAGAGAGCTTCCTCACCCCTTCCATCATGTGAGGACACAGGGAGAAAGTGCCAGCTGTGAACCAGGAAGTGGCCTTCACCAGAATGTGACCATGTGGACCCCTTGATCTTGTACTTCCTAGCCTCCAGAACTGTGAGAAATAAATTTTCATTGTTTATAAGCCACCCAGTGTATGGTATTTTGTTATAACAGCCTGATTAGACTAAGACATCCACCATGAAAAAGATTATAATTTAACAGACAGGATTAAACAATCAAGTAGATAATAGCAAAAAAACAGGTAGAGTAAGACAAGTGCGATAAAAAGACAAACAAACGAACAGAAGGCATACAGAAGAAGTAATTATATTTGGGGAATCAAGAAGAGTTTTTCATTCATAGGAAGACATTTGAGAAAATCTTGGATGGATATTTCAATAGAATGAATTGAAAAATAGAGAAAGAATAACATCTCAGGGGAATGAACTGAAATATATTTAACAAAAAAATAATAAAAATTAAGATTGAATAAATATGTTGTCAGCAAATGGAGTAGCTGGTCTGCCGGCCAGTTTGTCTTAGGAAAAGATTTGCATCATTTACATTAAAATAGTAATTCAAGCTGTAAAATTGGTTGGATTAATGTATGTGGAGAATATAGTAAAAAGAGAATAAGATTGAGAACTATACTTTAGAAAGCTATACTTTAGAAAACTATACTTTAGAAAAGAGAATAAGATTGAGAACTATACTTTAGAAAACTAGATTTTAGAAGATGTCCATTTTTATGATGTAGAAACAAACATACAACAACAAAAAGAGCTACCAGGCAATTAGGAAAATAAAACAAAATGGAGCTGAAGGTAGAAATCGTTTCAAGAATCTGGTTAGTGAAGACAAAATTACTTAGAGAAATCCAGGAGACTGGGACTGAAAATACATAATTATATTTTATTAACTAGATATTGTGAGAACAATTTTTAGCACAGTAGTGAAGACTGATGGTAGATCTGAAGAGTTTAGAATTGAACTGGTAATGGAGTAAAGACAACCTGTGTAGATTTTTTTTTCCACAAAGTTGACATTCAAAAGAGGAAATAGAGCATGATCTGCATCATACCAGCAACAATTAGCAACAGTTAACTGTGGCCTTTAGGATAGTTCCATTGTCCTTATGTTACTAAATACATAATGAAAACTTTAACATATGAAATAAAAGGATAACTCACCACATCTCTTGTATTCATAAATCTTCCCAAGGGCCAAACACTGACATAGAAATAAATGGCTGTGGCATGATTTAAAGAGAGAGAAAGGCTAAATGTGACCCAGTATGTGGATTAGGAAGTAATCATATATCATGATCTGTGGGGGGAAAAAAGCACAAATATAACCACACAACTAAGTAATTTCAGTGGGAAAACAGGAAAAGATGGATTTAAATTCAATCAAAAGGATTAAAATTTGTTTTAAGAAATATTTACTGTCGATGACAGGGTTTTTGAGAAATTGGAACTTCTAAATAGGCTTATTTCGTTTGTTATTTTTATTATGTCTCTCTCTTTTTTTGTTTTGTTTCTACTTTTAGTTTTTTACTGGAAATATACCAACATAAAATCAAACTGTTTTGAGTGACTATTACAGTAAGTTCCTTACATACGAACCTGCCAGTTGCGAACTTTTGAAGATGCGAACATGCGTCCGCATGTCCAATCATGTACGTTAGTTCACGTGTCTGGTGTACATTGTCATGTGTGTGCATCCTCTACAAGTGCTTGTGCTTTTGTGTACTTTACTGTACAGGAATGTATAGAGTACAGTAGTACAGTGTCTTTATTTCAAGCCAGTTCTGCAAGAGGACAACTTCATTGAATGCCTTGCTGTGCAACACAAGGAGCTTACTAATGAAGACCTGATGGAATTGGAGGCCCAGATAAAGGACAAAGAGAGACAAGGGGAAGAAGAAGTAACTGAGGAACCGAAGAGATTCACAATGCAGGAAATGGCAAAGAGATTTTCTTTATTTGAGGGGGCACCGTTAGTTTTTGAGGTACAGGACCTGAACATAGAACGGTACACGAAGGTTGCAGCAGACGTTCAGAATGCAATCCAGTGCTACCTTGTCATCTATAAGGAGAAAAAAAGAGCGATTACCTAGCCATCACTGGATCAATTTTTCAAGCGGGTAGATAGAATTGAATCCAACAAGGTACCAGAACCTGTGTCATCAACGTCAGGCGTGAGTGAAGTTGCAGCTTGCCCTCCATCTCCTACTGCTGACGATCCTTCAGCTCTACCATCTCCCACCTCCTCTCCCTCCTCCAGTCAGTAACACTTCTTGCCTGTTCACCTGATGCCAGCCGTTGTACTGTACTACTGTACTTTCCAAGGTACTATACTGTAAGATTGTTTTCTTTGTTTTTTGTGGGGTTTTTTTGTTTGTTTGTTTTGCGGTACGTGGGCCTCTCACTGTTGTGGCCTCTCCCGTTGCGGAGCACAGGCTCCGGATGCGCAGGCTCAGCGGCCATGGCTCACGGGCCCAGCCGCTCCGCGGCATGTGGGATCCTCCCGGACCGGGGCACGAACCCGTGTCCCCTGCATCGGCAGGCGGACTCTCAACCACTGCGCCACCAGGGAAGCCCCTTGTGTTTGTTTTTTATGTATTATTTGTGTGAAAAGTATTATAAACCTATTACAGTACAGTACTATATAACTGATGTGTTAGTTGGCTACCTAGGCTAACTGTTGGACTTAAGAATAAATTGGACTTATGAACGTGCTCTCGGAACGGACCTCGTTCATATGTAGGGGACTTACCGTATTTTAAGTTTTAAGGAACTTTAACTATATCTTGCTACACATATAATACAAATGTAATTATTTTTTCAGTGGATCATGTAACTAAATTGGCTTGAAATGGAAATATTGTTTTCTATGGAATACTTCCCAATGACATCGTGATCTTGGAACCCTAATTACAAAACTCTCAATCCACATGCAAATACATTTGGAGATTGGTTTCTTCCAAACTACTGCCTCTGATAAACATTTTCTTATTTTCATATTGACATAAATATAACTTAAAACAATTCCTCTTTTATATGAAAATTCTTGTGTGAATATTAAAAAGTATTCTTAAGTGGTGAATAGCAAATAGGTTATTTCCTTTCAAAATTAAAATGATAAACCAAATTTAAATGATTCATTTATCTTAAAAATTAAGATGAAAGACAGCACCAGTTTTGCTGACAGATGTTAACCAATTTTGCTGATAGATGAACCTTTTGTATTAGGCGTAGGGAAAGAAGAGGAAGTTTGAATTGGTATTGCAGCATCAAGGCACAAAGTAAGTGACAAGTAGAAATGTGGAGAGAAAATAGCCTAAGTTTTGGTGATTGAGAAGAAATCTTGTGATAGCATTTTAAATTCAGACGGGTAAGGACTAAAGTGAGCCACAAGCTAGGCTGTTGTCCATGAATTGTCTGTAGGGAAATGTACAGCTTCCCGCTTTGTTAAGAAGAGAAATAAGAAAAAGAAAAGTGAAAATACCTAAATCTGCTCAGAAATCAAATCTAAGGACACTGGGGGAATTGCTATACCAAACATTTCCATCTATTCTGCCAGATAAGAGAAATTTAAATAATTTACTTCAGAGAAGTAAAGGATTAAAAGTATACCACTTATTCTTCCTACTAAATTTATCATAAAAGTAAAGAGTTTTCTCCTCCTCTTTCTGGATTTTGCTTTAGATAATTTCTCCTAATACTGAATTACATATTACATATTTTGGTAGGTCATCAATAATTTGAATAAAGAAAATCATAAACAAGATTTTCAATATACCCTAAGTATGTTCACGGGACCTATAGTTTTCAAGAGTATTAACACATCAGATTTTTTGGTTGACAAAGGAATATATGTATGCATTTGATTAATCAGCAAATTCATCTTGTCTCCTGTTCAAGAAATGTAGATTCATCTACATGTTTTTAATTTTGTTCCCTGTCTAGTGGACCCATAAGATATAGAGCTATGACTTAATTGCTTATATATTTGAAATTGTGGTCCAATGACATATGATGACCTCTAAGTATTAAAATTGTATTCATTTACAGCAAGGTATGGATTGATATTAGTTTTGGGTGATCCTTGAAATTATAAAATGAATAAGAGAATTAAAAAGATTTTAGTTATTTAATAGAAATTCTAGATTATTTTCAGAGAATAGAAATAAGAACTTACAATAATATAACACCATTCTGTCTTGTCAAATATTTGGCAAAAACTTTTGGGTTTCAATTTCCATGTTACTGATGAAGAAAGCTAACAGTGTCAGAATTAAAAAGGATGGAAAATTAGAATTTTTATAGTATACTGTGGGTGGCTTCCAATTATTTTTTCAATAAATGTTTTGTATAAATGTTATAGACTCTCAGGCATTTTGGTAGATACATTCCTTTCTAAATATTGCAAAATATTTTCTTTTTGCATTGTCTAAAATAATTTAATTTTTGTCTCTGGTAATTTGAATTGATGAGGATCCAGAATGGGCTTATCATGTGGAAATAACTTTAGCACAATGAATTTTGCTCCACTCTTTATCTAATAGGCTGGATTAATTGAAAGCCTTTTTTTGGTGTTACTAAGAGGTTTTCAAAATAGATATAAATAAGCATTTCATACGCCCCCAGATAACACCCTCTTTAGAAGGACTTTGGTTATCAGACTACAGAGGAGTGTCTAGCAGAGGTGATGAAAGAGGATATTAACTTACATAGTTTCCTAAGACATAAGACTTATCTAAAAAGGATCTACTTGCTGAGGAAAGAAGTCACTGTGTCTTCTCTCAATCAAAACTCTCCAGAGTTTCTTATAGAATTACTTTTCTATATCTAAATTGTCCTAACCTGTTTCTCTTTTCCATTAACCTTGACATGATAATAAGTAATATTGGCAAGTCCTATTAATTACACTAAAGAAACAGGTTTGGTTATAGTGATTCGCACTAATATCCAGTTTAAAAAAATAGGAGAATGAATTCCATTCCCTAAGGAATTTTATTGGTAGGTTATTGAAAACCATTGTGTAATTCACTTATACAGATACACAAATGACTGTCACTGTAACAACTAATCACTTTTTAGATCATTTAGAGAAAAAGTACGTTCTTGGTTCATGCAATTGGAAAAGCAAGGTAAGAATTCTATAGAATAGTAATGGCACCTACCTTGTCCAATTCAGGGAGGAAATGAGCATGTTAAACTATCCTTTATAGGATCCCTGAAATAACCTAAGGGTGGAGAAGACATCAAGGCTTTGATGAAAGGTTTTATGTAAAAGAGCTGACCTTGATTAAAATTTTATGCAAAAGAATTGTTCTAGTCACTTAAAGTCTTAAAGAAAAAGAGTGATTCTTACTTGGGCTAGACCAGAAAGTGATTTCTCTAAGACTGATTTCACACACAGAAATGTCTAAAGTTTTCTCTAACTCCCAAATACTGGAGTGTAAACATTATATATAATGTAGGCATTAAAGAGGAGATCAAGGACCATCAGCTGTTTTAGTCTGTTTTTGCCATTTCTCCCATGGACTTCCATAGGGATACCTTGACTTTGTATTGCTGGATGAGATTAACGATTAAATGCAGACGACTTTGTATAATGATTCTTTTTGCCCTTTCATGAGTATTGTTTTGTTTACCTTTGGTCAAACAAAATCTCAGCTTGACAGGTTTCCTAACATCAAATCTTCAAACACAAAAGGCAGCAGGATTCTTACATGTTTTTATTCTTTTAAGAAATGTTCTGATCACATCACAGTCTTTGCTACTTTTTATACGTTCTATGGTATTGTTTTACCTGATAATGGTTTATACAGTTTAAAGAGAAAAGTGTGCCTGCTTTGTTCAGAGGGATATGAAACTCCATGCAGTTTGCCATGACACCTTTCTGAATTTATGAAGAATTATCCACATTATCCTTGTGGATCCCATTCCTTTGCTTAGAAGCACTCTGTCTTGCTCACCAGAGTGTTAAGAGCTAACCTCCTATTTCAGGAGCCTAGCTTTCTGGGATTTTCTTACACACTGGTATCTTTTACTACATCTGCCTTGGTACTACCGTTTCCAGTGTTGCAACATGGTTGGTGGACAAACAGCGACATGTGAAGCCAAGTATGTTGTAGGACATGGCAAAAAATGGAAAATTTATACCAATATTACATTCTCACAAGGCAAAAGCTACCCAGGTGCTGAATAACCCAGGAATAAGTCATTCTCAGTAATGAGAACAAAAGATTCTCTCTTAACTTTAGCAAAGCTAAATTAAATTCATGAATACTAGGAGCCCAATAATTTGGATAAGAACATTTGCACATGATCCAGGTTTCCAACTTATTGTAAGAGAATATCACAGACCTGTGGGAAAGAAATCAAGTCTTCAAGAAAAAAAGGTGAAAAATTACTATGAAGGAAAATGAATGTGATCTTTGCCTTATATCAGAAACTAATATGAAATATAGAATAAATAGTGTATAATATGAAGTGGTTTTAAAATCTAAAAGAAAAATACTGTAAGTACAAATGTGACTGAGCTTTGTTTAGGTTTAAGGCTTTCCATGAGAGTATCAGATATTTAAAATAAATTACTTGTGTTTGATTGCTTATTCTTTACAGTTGATACTCTGTGTTAGAGGTGGTGAAATTAAACCAAAGTAGTTTTTAGTGGTGAAACAGTTGGTTCAAATACATAGGTAACATGGGAACAATTAACTGTGCTTCTTTCTTTTTTATATTTGTCTCATTTCACAACTAATGTGGAGACTTTTATGTCTTTCATAATTTCATTTAACAAAAATACTCCATGCTGTCTATTGTGTTTCCTCTTATTTTCTTATTGCTAAATTAGATATAATAATCTTTAACTCACTATATTTCTATGAATATGAAACCATATATATATATATATATATATATATATAGAGAGAGAGAGAGAGAGAGAGAGAGAGAGAGAGAGGAGAGAGAAAAAGGAGAAAGTGTTTACTACCCTGCATGGTATGTGAAAAATATTTTAGAAATGTTCTACTTTTCTTCCAAATCCTGAAAAAATACTGCATTTTCTTTCTTTATATACTCATTTTTAAA